CCCATGGAAGGGTCTGGGGTTTGATTGCAGGTCATGGGCACATACCTGGGTTGCAGATTCAATCCCAGGCCTGTCAGGGTGCATGCAGGAGACAGCCAATCCATGTGTCTCTCTCACATCAATGTTTCTCCACCCCCACCCCTACCGCCTCCCTTCCACTCTCTAAAAATCAATGGAAAAAATATCCTTGGGTGACGATTAACAAAACACACACACACACACACACACACAAACTCACTCATCCACCCATATAGAACTAGTTTTCTTCCTCAAACTTAATGCAATATAATCTAACTACTCATATTTCAGATAATCCGTCTATTTCATGCCTTTGAAAGTAACTTTTTCTAGAATACCCTCCACCAATTAAGTGTCCACTGTATGTTAGAGCTAGATGCTAGAGTTGCAATGATGACAGGTCATTCCCTAACCTCAGGAAGCTCACAGTTAAGAAGGAACATGAGCCCTGGCCAGTTTGCTCAGTGGTTAGAGCATCGGCCCATGGACCAAAGAGTTGAGGGTTCGATTCCCGTCATGTACCTTGGTTGCGGTTCAGTCCCTGGCCCTGGTCGGGGTCTTGTGGGAGGCAACCAATTGATGTGTCTCTCACACATCGATGTTTTTCTCTTTCTCTCTCTGAAGATAAATGAAAAAGGATCCTTGGGTGAGGATTAAAAAAAAAAAAAAAAAGCCCATGGCATTTAGGTGGTAAGTGCCTTAAAAGAAGTGACTTAGGCATGTGGCTGGAGTTCCTGGGTGAGGACCTCAGTTGATACAGCATAACCAGGAGCATGAATTCGGGGAGCAAACTGCCTTCATTCAAACCCCGGTGCTACCATTTACAGCATGTGACCTTGGGCAAAATACATACTCTCCTGTATAAAATGGGAATGATGATAGTACTTACTGCGTATGGTTGTTTGAAAGATTAGAGTTTAATTGTTGTTAATTGGCTAATTATTACTTAGCCAGAGTTCTGCTGGGCTACCTTGCTTTTTCTGCTACTGGTAAAATCCTTGTCTAAGTACATACTAGCCCTGGCTGGTATGGCTCAGCGATTACAGCATCAGCCCACGGACCACAGAGTCCCGGGTTCGGTTCCTGCTAAGGGCATGTACCTTGTTTGCAGTTTGTCCCAGGCCCCGGTTGAGGTTGTGTGGGTGGCAACCACTCAATGTCTCTCTTTCACATTGATGTTTCTCTCTCTCTCTCTTCCTCTCTCCCTCCTACTCTATCTGAAGATAAATACAAAAAAATGTCGAGTGAGGATTAAAAAAAATTTTATAAGTATGCACTAAATATTTCCTTAATACATTTAACAAATAGTAAGCATCTATTCTGAGCAGAAGCATTGTTTTAGGTAAAAAAATATAGACAGTAGTTGACTGCAAAGCCTTCCTTTATGAAGCAGAGAAGTTATATATGGGGTGGATCACATAAAATTACTCTTCCAAGCACCTGTCTACAATATGCCTCCCTCTCCCAGCCTCATTAAAATGCATGGTTACAGGTTATGGAGAACTAACATTTATTATGCTCTTTCATTTATGCAATTCCATTTCATCTCTCCAACAAACCCTGAGGTAGGTATTATTACCATTTTACAGATTGGAAATAAGGCACAGAGCTGTTAATAAAAGAACACTGCTAGTAGGAGACAGTAGCAGGAGTTGAGGCTGGACTTTTCTGGTTCTAGAACTCCAGCTCTGTAAAATGGCTCAGGATAGCAAGAGAAAGACTAGGACCAGTTACTTCTCTGAAGCCACCTAACTGTAGAGCAGCCAGTCACGTCCAGATTCCCCATGAATCCCCAGTTGCTACACAGTCTTCCCTCAGCACAGGAAGAGTTGGCCACTTAGAAGTTCTGCCATTCCCACCCAGGGTTTAGATATCTTGTAGGGAATAGATCTGAGGATAAGGAGAGAAGAAAGGGGGAAGTGGGGGGGGGGGGTAGAGTAGAAGAAAGACTGACTAAATATGAAAAAGCACAGAAGGTCTGTGCTGAAAACAAAAACATTTGGTCTGGGCTCATTTAAATATGAATAAACTGATACCCAAGGAAGGAAATGTCTTATCCAGAATTACCTAGAAACTTCATAAGTGAGAAAGGTCTGGGACTGTGCTGTTCAGTGTGGTAGCCTCTGGCCACATGTGGCCATGGAGCATCTGAAATATGCTTAGTCTGGATTGAGGTAAACTGCAAGTGTCAAGTACCTGTCCAATGTCAAAGACTGCAAATGGGGGGAAAATGTAAAATACCTCAATTTTTTGTATTGATTACATGTTGGTATAATATTTTGGTATATTTATTACTATAATAAAATATATACCAGAAAAAAATATAATTACATATATGGCTCACATTTGTGACTCACATTATATTTCTATTGGACAATGCAGACCTATTATCTTCCCACCTCCAGATGAGTGTCCCTACTCTGCTTCCTAGAGTCTCTTCTAACAAATCATTTACCACCTTTTATGTGCCAGTGGCTGAGAGGAGATCAAGTTGTGGTCCAACTGAGCATAAGATCAAAACACAGCAAAGGCCCTGGCTGGTTTGGCTCAGCGGTTAGAGCATCGGCCTGCAGTCCAGAGAGATCCGGGTTTGGTTCCCGCTAAGGGCACGTACGTCGGTTGCAGTTTGTCCCTGGCCCTGGTCGGTCGTGCGGGTGGCAGCCACTCGATGTGTCCCTTTCACATCGATGTTTCTCTCTCTCTCTCCCCCTCCCACTCTACCTAAAAACAAAAAATGGAAAAATGTCCTCCGGTGAGGATAAAAAAATAAAAATAAAAAAAACAAACAGCAAAGGATAATAGTGCTGGTGAGTTCTATTTTATATGCTGCCTGGAATGATGGTTCTTAACTCTATCAGCTCCAGTGTTCCCTTTTAATAGCAAACATTTTTTTATGACACCCCCTTTACTGTTTTGAGATAAAGTTCATAGATGATATAACCTAACTATACACATAAATTTCAAAAAAGTGTAGTGTCTTAACCCTAACAGGAGAAAGAAAAACTTTCTAATAAAATGATGCTATTTCAGTATGTTAGAAAACATAATTAGATGCGTTTATCTATATGTAAGGTCACCTTGAATATGACAGTACAAATGAGTGACATTCCTGTCCATGAGAGTAACTCAGTAAATTTCTGAACAAAGCAAAATACAATCTTCTTCCTTTTGCATGATAATGAAATTCCTTGAAAACTCAGCACAGCCCTGGCCAGTTTGGCTCAGTGGTTAGAGTGTCGGCCTGTGGTCCAGAGACCCGGGTTCGGTTCCCGCTAGGGGCGCGTACCTCGGCTGCAGTTTGTCCCCAGCCCTGGTTGGTCATGCGGGTGGCAGCCACTCGATGTGTCCCTTTTACGTTGATATTTCCCTCTCTCTCCCTCCCAGTCTATCTGAACAAAAAATGGAAAGGTGTCCTCGGGTGAGGATAAAAAAAAAACACACAAAAAAACTCAGCACATAATACAACCCTGCAAAATTACTTCATCTTTACCTATGGACCACAGTCTCAAGGATCAATGATTATGACTGTTTTCACTTACATGAATGACCAGTAGGATTTGAAAGCCCTGTGGGACAGACCATTCTTTCTCGTGTGACACTAGCTTACAACGTGCATGACATCTAACATTCTTGGCTCCTCCTCTCAAACATTGGCAACAAACTTGCCCGTGCACACTTCCAAATAACCCCTTGGGGATGTGTGGTCCTGGCTGGGAACCGGCTATGGCTGTCAGAAGGCCCTACCTGCCCCCACGCCTCTCCTGGGCTGCTTTCCCCTCTCCCCAGGCCTTAGCTGCCCTGGCCTTCCCAGGTCTTCTCTAAGCCAATCTCTTTCCTCTTTCTGGGCCTTCTGGGCTCTGCTTTTTACCTGGAAAACGCACATTTTGTTTGGGTAACTTAGGGAAACTGGATTCTCAGCATTCCCAAATTCTGTCTAATTCTTCCTGTCGTATTTTTCCACCGGACCGTACATTTCTGCAACGGTACTCACGACAGTCTGGGATTTCCACCTAAGCTTATATTTTGCTGGTCAGTGGGAACTGAACGCCTGTCACAGTCAACGATCAGCTCCGGGAGGGCCGGGACCACGCCCCCCGCGTCCAGTCCTGGTTTACTCAGTACCCACCACCACCTTGGTGGGCAACAGCAAACAGTTCTGACATCTCTGAGTGGTTGATGGGGTTCGGAGCCCATTGGGAGCTTAGGCGGCTGAAGCGTGATCATTGAGGGGGAAGGCGTCTTTCCCCAGGGTCGATGGGAGTTGACACTGAAGATGTGTGGCACGTCCGGGGCCACTTGGAATAGCGTCTGTGGAAGGCACGCCCGTTCTTGGGGGGCGGTGGCCGGCCGGGCGGACCGCAGTCCCCTCGGGCGGGCACGCGGGCGAGAGGGGCGGGGCGACCATAGAGAGGGCGCGCGGAGCGAGCGGCCGGATGCGGTCACCATAGAGACGGGGAGTGACAGCGAGCGGAAGAGGAAGGAGTGGGCCGGGCTGTGAGGTGGCAGCGGCTGCAGCAGCGGAGCCGGCGCCTCGGCTGGGAACTGGGGTCTGTTCCTCCTTCCCCCCTTCCCCCTGCTCGGGGCGCCGGGGGCGCCGGGAGCGGGTCCCACGCCCTCGCCCCCGCTCCCCGGGAAGGCGCCGCTCGCGTCGGTCACATCTGCATCCTCCGCCCCTGGCCCCGCTGCAGGGGTCTTCCCCGCGGGCCTCGGGGTGTCCCCTTGGGGCTCTTCGCCCGCAGGCGCAGGCAGGGCTATTGCCCCGCGGAAGGGCCTGAGCGCGGGGTCTTGGCCCTCCTCTCCCAGCCCTGCCAGCGGTGCCCACGGAGCGAGCCCCCGCCCCTCGGCCGCTCCGTGACGCAGCCGGTTTTATTCCTGTTTTGAGACTAACGACGGAAAGTCGCGTTGAGCCTTCCTTCCTGGACGAGGAGTGGTCTGTGGTCGCGGAGAGCGCGCAGGGGCGCCGGGCCCGGCACGGCCGCAGCCAGCCGAGCCTCGGGCGGCCTTTCGGGGACCCCTGCGTGGCCCCTGCTGCTTCTGTCCTCTCCGTTTGGTTTGCTTTCGTTTGGCTACCTGGAGCCCCGGCAAAGCCAGACACCGAGCGCTCTGACACAGCCGGAGTTACTGTCATTTGCCTCCTGTCTCCGTTAGGAGGGAGGTGGCCACACCAGCCCTGCTCGGGATCTGGGATTGGGAGCCGCGTGCCCTGCAGAATGGCTCCACCAGCCACCGCGTGCCTCTGAGCCTAGTCACCCCTCTGCCCACCTCGTTTGTGCGGGCAGGACGTGTGTGCCGTGCCAGTGGCTCTTGACCACTCCTAACGGGGAGGAGGGGTTACTCCAGCCCTGTGTTCCCTGAACAGGCAGGGGTCCAGAGTAAAGAGGCCCCGAGTGCTTTCAGTGAATTGAGCAAGAAATGTGCCAGAGCCAGGCGCTCTTGGGAACGGCCTATGGAGGCAGCTGCTCCAGGTGGGGCCCCTGATCTGACAAAGCGTGTGCCTTCCCACTGACCCCTTCTTAACAGTTGCTGATAGCTCTTGACTTAGTCTACAGATGTATGTCATCCTTTCTGGGTTAGGTTTGACAGGAGTGAGTTTTGTTTCCTCTCCTTTCTACTGGAAGACAGACCATAAGCCATTCGTGGGTGAAACGCATTCTAGTATTTATTACCATTTGGACTGAGGGCTAGAGCTGGCTCTTGGACGACCGAAGACCCGGCAGACAGGATTGTGAAGACGGGACACTCCAGCTTACTGGGGATGCTGGGCCCGGCAGCAAGCACGCCGTGCTCGGTTGCTGACCTCATTGACCCCAGGTGCCCTGGTTAAAACTGCACGCCTCCTACTGGCCTGGCACCCATCAAGCCGCTCACTGATCCCTGAGGCCGTGCCCTCTGGGGCATGCGCACAGCAGGGCCCAGCACCATGCGACTGAGCTCCCTGTTGGCTCTGCTGCGACCAGCACTGCCCCTCATCCTGGGGCTGTCTCTGGGATGCAGCCTGAGCCTCTTGCGGGTTTCCTGGATCCAGGGTGAGGGAGAAGATCCCTGTGTAGAGGCTGTGGGGGAACCAGGAGGACCGCAGAATCCCGACTCGAAAACTTGGCTCGAACAAAGTGACGAAGAGTTCAAGCCCCGGATTGTTCCCTACTACAGAGATCCCAACAAGCCTTACAAGAAGGTGCTCAGGTGAGCGCTGCATGCGTGCTTAGTCCCCTGACGTCAGCGTAGGGCTGCTCTGAGTACTTGCCTCTGCCTTCACTGTAATCCCTGTCGGGCTCTTTGGAGCAGTTCTTACCATCATGCTTTGTTCCCTGTTTTTTCCCTTTCTCTGTCTGAGAAAGTCTCAACCGTTGTTATGTTAGTGTTGGGTGTTGTTAAATAGGGCAGGAATTGCACCTACTTCATCTAATTCATCATTAGTAGACCCTTCCCAAATCTTTCCCAGTGTCAGCTGTTCAGAGGATGCGTACCCCAGGAGCTAATTGATGTTGATGAGGGGGTCTCTTGCTTCTCTTGTCTCATCGCCAACTCACCCGTTCCTGGGGGAATGTGTATCTGGACAGGCTGGGTTCCTAGAGATGAGGGAGCTGATGCTCAACGTGCTGGTCTCCCCACAGGACTCGGTACATCCAGACAGAGCTGGGCTCTCGGGAGCGGTTGCTGGTAGCTGTCCTGACTTCCCGGGCCACGCTGTCCACGTTGGCCGTGGCTGTGAACCGCACAGTGGCCCACCACTTCCCTCGGTTACTCTACTTCACCGGGCAGCGAGGGGCCCGGGCTCCGGCAGGGATGCAGGTGGTATCTCACGGGGATGAGCGACCGGCCTGGCTCATGTCAGAGACCCTGCGCTACCTCCACACACACTTTGGGGCCGACTACGACTGGTTCTTCATCATGCAGGACGACACCTATGTGCAGGCGCCCCGCCTGGCAGCCCTGGCTGGCCACCTCAGCATCAACCAAGACCTGTACTTGGGCCGCGCCGAGGAGTTCATTGGCGCCGGCGAGCAGGCCCGGTATTGCCACGGGGGCTTTGGCTACCTGTTGTCACGGAGTCTCCTGCTTCGCTTGCGGCCACATCTGGACGGCTGCCGAGGGGACATTCTCAGTGCCCGTCCTGACGAGTGGCTCGGCCGCTGCCTCATCGACTCTTTGGGTATCGGCTGTGTCTCGCAGCACCAGGTGACAGCCCTTTCAAGTCGGTCCTGGTCCCTGGCACTCAGTAGTGACTGGGGCATTGGTCTCCAGCTGGGTGCTGCCAGCTACTTGCCAGCAGCATGACAGGGCCGCTGGTTTGCCCTTCACAGACACCGAGTGCCCCTCGCCTCCCTTGCTCATCTTGGGCAGTCTTAGACCCCAGGGGCTGTCAAAAGTGGCATCTTGTCAGGGACCCTGTGAGCAAGATAGAAAGGTGCCCCTCTTCATCCATCCTCCACCCATCTTCCCCCACCCTCCACCCCCTGCCCTGACTCACACACACAGCCATGAAGGATCTGCAGTGTTCTAGATGTGTTCACTTTCCTGGAGAGGTGAGGTAACCCCTGTTCCAGCCCCAAGAGCTGCCGTGTCTTTGGGACTGGAGAAGATGGGACGAAGCCAGCATCTAAGGAGTATTTGCTGGCTTGTGGTAGTCATTCCCTAGAGAAGCAGTGGGGTTCTCTGGGGAAGAGGGCACCCTTAGTTGCCTACTGAACATTCATTTTTTTCCCCAAAATCCAGCAGTGAGAGTAAGGCCAAGATTAAGGGGGTGCTGGACTGAGCTCCCACTCCCTCCATCCTTCTGCAGCAGCAGCTGTCATAGGGGTGAATGCTGGGTTGGGTCAGGGCTGGTAGCGATGGGCAGCCCTCCGTGTGTGGCATTGATTGGTCTGATTGGTCCCTCTAGGGGCAGCAGTATCACTCATTTGAACTGGCCAAAAATAGAGACCCCGAGAAGGAGGGGAGCCCGGCTTTCCTGAGTGCCTTTGCAGTGCACCCCGTCTCTGAGGGGACCCTCATGTACCGGCTCCACAAGCGCTTCAGCACTCTGGAGCTGGAGCGGACGTACAGCGAGATAGAGCAGCTGCAGGTGAGCCGGGCCCCGCCAGAGAGGGTGGGCAGCTGAGGGGAGGCCAGTGGGATGGAAAGAGGCTGACTGTACCTAAATTTAAAGCAGCTCCAGAGAGAAGGGGCTCTTGGGTCCAGGTCAATCATCAGATACGCTCCTGGAAAGACTCGGATGCAGTTAGAAGGTTTTGCAGGTGAACGGTGCAGCTCAGGGCTCGGTACAGTGTTTGGAATTGTTTTAGCTCTTCTCCAACAGCGCCTCTCCACCAAGGAGGCAACAAGTCAGAAGTCTCCCAACTTCTAGCACTGACCTTAAAAAACCCAAGGTAGAAGAATATTCTAGTTGACTGTGGGTTGTCAGAGGGGGAGCACAGGTGAACAGGAAGGCCCTGTACTCAGGAGAATGGGAATACTTTGGGTTTGGGAGGGGGAGGCTGTAGAGCTTTGTATTTCAGGTGCTTTAACGTCACCTGCCAAAGCACATTCCCCCCAGGCCTCCTCAGTGTACTTGTGAATGGGGGTATGATTCATATGTCTGCTTTGTTGACAGACAAAGAATGTAAGGTACAGGGAACTGAGTGATTAGCTAAGGGGCACCTCACTAAGTGTCAGGGCAGAGCTCAGCCCAGGACAGGTCAGGTCCTGAGGACTACCAGTCGGGTACTAACTGTGTGTCCCTCCTACCCTAGGCTCAGATCCGGAACCTGACAGCCCTCACTCCCGAGGGGGAGGCAGGGTTGAGCTGGCCCGTGGGGCTCCCGGCCCCATTCACACCACGCTCTCGGTTTGAGGTGCTGGGCTGGGACTACTTCACAGAGCAGCACACCTTCTCCTGTGCAGACGGGGCACCCAAGTGCCCACTGCAAGGAGCTAGCCGGGCGGATGTGGGCGATGCCGTGGAGACAGCTCTGGAGCAGCTGAACCGGCGCTACCAGCCCCGGCTGCGCTTCCAGAAGCAGCGGCTGCTCAATGGCTACCGGCGCTTCGACCCCGCGCGGGGCATGGAGTACACGCTGGACCTGCTGCTGGAAGCAGTGACGCAGCGTGGGCACCGCCGAGCCCTGGCCCGCAGGGTCAGCCTGCTGCGGCCGCTGAGTCGAGTGGAAATCCTGCCTATGCCCTATGTCACCGAGGCCACCCGTGTGCAGCTGGTGCTGCCGCTCCTGGTGGCCGAAGCTGCTGTGGCCCCTGCCTTCCTCGAGGCCTTCGCTGCCAGCGTTCTGGAGCCGCGAGAGCACGCGTTACTCACCCTCCTGCTGGTCTACGAGCCACGGGAAGGTGGCCGGGGGGCCCTGGACCCGTTTCTTGGGGTGAAGGCTGCAGCGGCGGAGTTGGAGCGACGGTACCCTGGGACAAGACTAGCCTGGCTTGCAGTGCGGGCAGAGGCCCCGTCCCAGGTGCGGCTCATGGACGTGGTGTCTAAGAAGCACCCGGTGGACACGCTCTTCTTCCTGACCACTGTGTGGACCCGGCCTGGGCCCGAGGTGCTCAACCGCTGCCGCATGAATGCCATCTCCGGCTGGCAGGCCTTCTTCCCTGTCCACTTCCAGGAGTTCCACCCCACCCTCGCACCACAGAGGTCTCCTGCAGGGCCCCCAGGGTCGGGCCCTGATCCCCCGTCCCCTCCCGGAGCTGACCCTGCCCGCGGGGCTCCCGGAGGAGGCCGCTTCGATCGCCAGGCCTCTGCGGAGGGCTGCTTCTACAACGCCGACTACCTGGCGGCCCGTGCACGGCTGGCGGCTGAGCTGGCAGGCCAGGAAGAGGAGGAAGCCCTGGAGGGGCTGGAGGTGATGGACGTGTTCCTCCGGTTCTCAGGGCTCCACCTCTTCCGGGCCGTGGAGCCAGGGCTGGTGCAGAAGTTCTCCCTGCGGGACTGCAGCCCGCGGCTCAGCGAGGAGCTGTACCACCGCTGCCGCCTGAGCAACCTGGAGGGGCTGGCGGGCCGCGCCCAGCTCGCCATGGCCCTGTTTGAGCAGGAGCAGGGCAACAGCACCTAGCGCCAGGCCCGCGGGGGTCTCCCCTCGGCCTCAGCCCCCGGAGGGCAAGGCACGATGGACGGACAGATGGAGAGCTTCTGGCTGTATTTTTTTAATAAGAAAATGTAATTAAAAGCATCTTCTGCCAAAGTGTTTTTAGGTCTAGGGAAACAGAGTCAGGAGAAGAATCAGGGAGGGGCAGGGGAGTTTTCCCAGGGGGACCCACTGCCTCCCCCTTCCTCCTCTCTCCCAGTTGCCAATGACCACACAGCTGCTATCAGATGAATGACCTTTAATCCAGTTCCCCGCCTCACCTAAAGGCAGGCAGGCGGCAGAGGGGCGATGGCAGAGCCCGGGGGCAGGACGGCCGCCCCGTGTTCACTCAGGAGCTCCTAGGTGTTGCGCACCACCAGCGACTGCTCCAGCTCCTGCCTGCGCTGCTGGATCTTTAGAGAAATCAGAGCAGGAGCAGGGTTACCATGGTGCTGGTGAGTGACAGACGAGCCCCACCAGCCACCACCGGCCCTGGAAGAGCATGTGGGAGCAGGGAGGGCCCCCAGGAGGTGAGGGGCACGGCATGGGCGCTGATGAGGCCGAGAAGGGCGGTTTCTGGCCCCTTCACACCTTGCAGTAGAAGTAGCGGCTGACTGCTTCCTGGGACCAGGGCTGGTGGTAGAACTCAGCCCGGCGCTCCTCCTCGGGGTTGCCTGCCACGTCTGTCATCACCTGGGGGAGCAGTGGGGTCAGCCCCCGAGCCGGGACCCCTCCAGCCCCCGTGTGCAACCTTCACTGTCTTCCCAATATGCTTGTCTTCCATCCAGTGCTCCCCGAGTCCCCTTCACCTTGAGGTCCCGGCTCTGGGAGCAGAGCAGGTCTTGGATGTAGCCTTTGGGGTCTCTGGAGAAGCTTAGCATGAAGTCCCTCTGGATCTTGAGCTGGTTTATGGACTCGATCGTCTCGTGGATCTACAGGTAGAAAGACAGACACTCTCAGCTGGCTGTGGTGATGGAGAAGCGGGAGGAGGAGGGAGGCAGGCGGGGAGGTACTGCTGCTGTGCCTTTGGAGAGCAGTGCCTGTGTCCCAGGGAAGGGGACCTGCGCCCTCCACCTCTCCACAGGCCCACGCTCGCGCCTGTTCTGTCTGTACTGTCATTTCTGGGTTAACGGCCCACTGCAGCTCTGGGCTCTGGCCCCACCTTACTGTCCAGAGCGCTGATCTCCTGCTGGTTGGCCGTGGACAGGAGGAAGCTGCTCATCTGCCCCTTCAGTGGCTCCTCCACCTCCACGTCGATGTCATAGCATGCCGTCTTCTTCTGGTCCGACGGGTCCACGCTGCCAGGAGTCCAGCCCTTGTGTTCACCTGCCCCACAGAGGCCCAGGGCCCCGGGGGCAGATGCATTGGGGAGGGAGGGGGCATGAGTATGGGAGGAGCCAGGAGGGCAGGAGCAACCAGGGCCTCACCTGATGACGTGGTTGATGACAATTGGGTCAGGGGGCAACAGCAGAGCTGTGAGGCGCTGGGGAATCTCAGAAAACTTCAGCCGGGGACAATCAAAAATCTGGAGGAGGAGGGAGAGGTCGCTCTTTGTGCTTGAGAAGAGCTTAATTACAGTTCTAGAAAGGCCGCAAGAAGCCAGGAACAAGTCTGATCCCTCAGTGCCCATGGGGCTGGGCCAGGCGGCCAGCAGCCCGGCGGCGCACTGGGTGAGAGGGCCCTGGCTCCGCCAGCCGAGGTATAAATCCTGCTCCCACCACTTACATGCAGCCTGTGCGAGTCCCTTCATGACTCGGCCCTCAGTTTCCTCATCCCTAGAATGGGGATACTACTAGCCCCCCTCTCCCAGGGTTGTGGAGAGAATGTCATGAATCAGGACACATCAGGTGCTTGGAACATGGCACGCGGTATGCGCTCAATAAACATCAACTGTTTTTTTTTACTCCTAAGGTTTATCTGCTGTATTTATTTAAAATGTATTGATAACCATCTCAGTAGACTTTTTGTCAAGTCCCTTCACAGCAATGTGACTTTCCTCACTGCCCAGTGGGTTCAATGGGACGGATAAGGAACAAGGCTCGAAATGGCTAACTCACCTGGAGTCAGGACCCAGGACTAGAACCTGGGGATCCAACTCTAAGTGCCAAGAACATTCCATTCACAAGAGCTTTGCAGGGCTCCAGATCTCCCTGACCTACAATGGCTAAAACGCAGCGCGAAGCTAGGCCACGGCAGAGCCTGGACTGGGACCCTGCTCCCTGGCCCTCAGACAGCGGCTAGAGTCTCTGACACCGAGAATCTAGAAGGTGGGGTGCTGTTACCTTGGTAGAGGCACTTCCCCTACTGGTGACTGCGCGCTCCCCACATCCCTGGGTTCAGGGTACCTGCTGGAAATATTTGTCCCCATTGATGTATTCCTTGTCGTGCGAGTCCTGCAACCTGTTGGTCTTCACATACTGCCACAGGGCCTGGACGATGGCTGAGCGGCTCTGTGTGTGCAACCCCAACAGCCGGGCCAGGCGGGGGTCCAGTTTGAACTGGGGGGGCTGGAAAAAGGTGACCACGAACATTAGGGAGTGGAAAGAGCTCAGGGCCAGGCAGCTTGGGACTGGGGGGTGAGGGGGTCCATGGTGATTGGCCTCCTTGGAAAGGTGGTTCTGGAGAACGGGGTTAGTGAGGAGGATGGGTCTCTGGGGATTCGTACCTGGAGGCCTCGGCCCACCCTGTCTAAGAGAAAGGGCACGGGAGCCAAGGGCCTTGTGGTCTGCGGGGTTGGGGACTGTCACGGACCTGGTAGTCTAGCATGAGGAGCAGTGTGCAACGCACACTCAGGTCCCCCGGCCTCTTCACCTGGAACCCATCTGTCTCCTGGGTGGTGGGCGTCCGGTGCCACTGTCCAGGGGAGAAAGAGCTGGGTCACATCATGAGCCCCCCCGGGCTGGCGTGGCCTGGGGCTCTAGGGTGGTCCCTGACCCAACACCGTGCAGCTGGCGGAACTGCAGGACTTGGGCCTGAGGATAGGTGGCAATTCTAGGCCAAGTGCGGTCTGGGTCTTACCTCCACTAGGTGGTTGTCAGGGCCATAAAGGTCTTTGTCCAGCTCAATGACCAAACTCTTGAAGAAGGAAGAGAACTTTCGCTTCTGCTTGCTAGGCTGCGAGAGAAGAACAGGGACCGTGGGGGCAGAACAGGGACCGTGGGGGCAGAACGAGTTGGGAGGGGGTGGGGCTGGTTGGGTAGGGTAGCATGGTTAGAAGCAGGTCTCCGCACCCCAGATGTCTCTCTAGGCCACCCACCCCCAGTCAGGCTGACTCCCTCACCCTCAGTGCGAACGTCTAGCTCTGTCCTCAGCCCAGCCCTGTACCCACCCCAGGACACCCGGAGAGACCTGGGCCGGGACGTACGTCATCCAGGAGCTTCCCCTCCACTCGCAGCTCCCAGGAGGCGATGCTGCCGTCGGAGTCCTCAGCATCGGGCTTCGCAGGGTTAAAAGTATTGGATATATAAAGACGCAGCTTCCGCTTTTGCTGTAGAAATCAAGAGTGTCCCACAGAGCAAACACTGTGTGCCCACCCCCAGGGCACACCCACTTCTACATTCTGGCAATGGGGACGTGTTGCCTTCTTCCCACCCCCAAACCAAGCACCTTCATCGGCCTCTTCAGAGCCTCCTGGATGTCCACCCGCTTCCGCATGATGGTTTGATCCAGTTTCCTCTCAAACGCCAGGAGGTCCATGTACGCCTGGGACTCAGGGACCAGCTCCCGGATCTGGAAGAGGAGGAGCAAGGCCGGGAACCAGGAGCCAGGCTTGTAGGTGGACTGTGTGCATGTCATGTGATCCCAGGGGACACAGAGATGGAGGGGAGCTGGCCAGGTCTGAGACTTTGAGAGTGAAAATGAGACCTTTCCCCAGGACTCCCGACCCAGCAGTAGCAGCCTCATGTGTAGGTATAAAAATTGCCTCGCCCTCTAGGGCAGGGGTTCCCAACCTTCCTGATGCCGTGACCCTTTAACACAGTTCCTCGTGTTGTGGTGACCCCCCAACCATAAAATTATTTTTGTTGCTACTTTATAATTGTAATTTTGCTACTGTTATGTCTTAGGTGACCCCTGTGAAAGGGTCGTTCGACCCCCAAAGGGGTCGCGACCCACAGGTTGAGAACCCCTGCTCTAGGGACATCCATGCATCTCATCACTAAGGGAGGCCAGAGTCACCATGGAGCCCAACAAACTTTAGGGCTTCACCTCCTCCTCTTCCTTGCCTTTGTCACACTGCCTCTGGGCTTTCCTTAGGTATCTGCAAAGTGGTTAGGGCCTTGGGGTCCCTGAGGCAGGGAATGCGGTTCTTACCTCTGCCCTGGCACCTCACTCAGTCACTCCAACTGATATCTCAGCCATGCTGCCCCTACCAGCTGGGTATGGCCTCAGACCACTGGACTCCAGTCCACTGCACCCCAGGCCCAGGATGCAACCCCTTTTGGTTCTGTCCCTTCCTTCTGCCCCACCCCCTCGCTCTGGCCTGGGGAGCCTCACTTCTTAATTAGCTTTTTAAACAAAAAGTAAAAGTGACTCTGACCACTGAGGCTCTGCTCCTCGCCGGGAGGGGAGACAAACGAGGTGAGGGCGGGGGAGAGGAGGTGGAGCAGCAGGGGTGGGGGTGGGCTGGGGGCTGCTGGGAAAGGCACTCACCCTTTGAGGGAGGATTTTGTCAGCCATCTTCCTCCTCTTGGCACTGTACATTTTTTAAAGAAAAAACCAGGTTACCATGGCGACAGATCTGGGAGTAACGAGGCCACCTGCTAAATTATCCCGACATCTCCGCCCGCCTGGCTGGGGTTCCCACAGCCCGCTCCTCTGCCTGCCCAAGGGGCTATGACAGTGGTGTGTGACATCAGTGCTCTGTCCTCTCGGGGAGCAGAGGTGACTCGGTCCTTTCTCTGGCCTGGGAGTCCCTTTCTGCCCCACCTCATCCGCAGGCCAGACAAATGTAGACTTAGGAGGGGCTGAGGTGGGGGCGCTGCAGAAGTGTTGGGGGGAAAGCTGGGAAGGAGAGAGGAGAAGGAGGTCTGCTGAGGACTCTCCTGTGTTGCTAAGCTGGCGTGCATGGTCCAAGGGAGGGGAGCTGACCCCCTGACCACAAACCCCTGGAGCAGGAG